CACCAGTTTTACTCTGTGTTGGTGGATTAAATCCTTGTTAGAAAACCACCAGTTTTACTCTGTGTTGGTGGATTAAATCCTTGTTAGAAAACCACCACCACCAACACAGAGTAAAACGGTTTTCTAACAAGGATTTAATCCACCAACACAGAGTAAAACTGGTGGTTTTCTAACAGGGATTTAATCCACCAACACAGAGTAAAACTGGTGGTTTTCTAACAGGGATTTAATCCACCAACACAGAGTAAAACTGGAGTTTTCTAACAGGGATTTAATCCACCAACACAGAGTAAAACCGGTAGTTTTCTAACAAGGATTTAACTCATCAACACAGAGTAAAACTGGGAGTTTTCTAACAGGGATTTAATTATCAATTTTACAATCTATTGGTGACTTTTCTTATGTGCGTTTGCCAGTTTGAAAATCCTAAGACTTAGAAACCTTTTCGTTTCACATGTAACCACGACACCTGGAGGTAGAATTCAAGCAAACTGGTAAAATGTCAACAAGACATTGTGATGAACAAGTAAAGACGACACTGAGGGAGGAATTCATGCTATAGTTTTTACGCAATATTGTGAATCTTCAGGTATGTGGTTAATATATAATCAGGAAAAAATAGCAGTTCTATAGGTAGTTAGTTTTACTGCTTAATCGTAAACCGTACCACCTCCAGCAGAGAAAGTGTGAGCTCTGGAAATACGGGTTACATGGTTTTATTGATTGTTTAAAAAATTTACTCATCACAAATAAGTTATACTCATATCCATAATCGTAACATTAATAATATGAATTTATTCTTCTGAAATTAATTCTCTATCTATTGTGAGAAGTTATGTGTTCAGCTGTGGCACAAAGCAGCTTTAGGCTTAGCCATAACTGCTATCGAGACGTTTTTAGCTATCTAGAATATGCGTTGTTTAAGCTTAAAATTACAAAACGAAAAGAGAGAGAGAGAAGAACAACAAAACTGACATTTAATGTCAGAATAAAAACATTCGAGAAACTAAACAAGATAAATGTTTAAAAAATTACAGTTGTTTTACTGAAAGCTTCTTCTTTTCAGAGGTTGTACCAAGTCCCCTTACTGTAGCCTACAAGATTCATCATGATTAACGTGCCATTCGGCTTCACGTTCCCTTATCATTCGACTGTCCAGACAGTATTTATATCTCTGGACGGAGAACTGATAAGGGCTTGTGGAGGCCACGATTTCTTCAGTTCAGTACGTCGGATTGATATCGATTTTCCTTCAAGCTAGACATCAAAGGGGTAGGTTTTTAATGTTTTCAAAAGAAATGTAGTCCTCATTGGTTATTGAGTTCTTGCTGGTTGGAAAATACAGTCATGATTTTGTATTAAAAGTAATATCCTTGAATACGTTGTCTTCTAAGACGATATACACATTCACTTTGATTTAAATATAACACATGTGGGTTCATTATTTTTCAAATAAAATATGTGTATGCTTCATTTTTGTTTTATGAATACTTGTCAAAACTAAACGTTTGTTTAAGTTCTTATAAAATCTTAAATATTATAATTTAATGCCAGAAATTTACCAAGTCCTCAGACACGATAACCTGAATGTGTGGTCCAGCTGTCCGAATAGTTAAGATTCTGCTTGGTCCACCCATCATAATAGTTAAGATTCTACTTGGTCCAGCCATCATAATAGATAAGATTCTACTTGGCTCAGCCATCATAATAGTTAAGATTCTACTTG